GAAGGTTATGACTGACTGACTGAGTTTGGTTTTACGCCGCTTTTAGCAATATTCCAGCAACATCACGGCGGGAGAAGGTTATGAAGGTTATATGACTATATCAACATATTTAGTCAATCTGTCTTCCAATCATCTGAGAACATCACATGGTTAACGCTGGTAATTAAAATAACCCGGCGTAAGTCAAATGGATTTCACTAATCACCGCAAACATTAAGCTTTAAAGCCGAAATAAGCTGAGAAGCGAACTAAAAATCATATCAAAGTCACTGTGTCGACGAATTGAGTCGAAATGATCCGTGTTAACCCTAATACGCACACCTCAGCTTGATAATGGCGGAAGGGAGCACAAATACGACGCTATATGCATTTAAGCCCAAACGTAGTATCTAAAGAGATAACCGTTTTCTAAACAGTATGCATTGTTTGTAAAGAATGCTAAAATCCTGCATCGTATCTTACCAGGTTAATTTCCAGAACGACAAATCGTAATAAAATTAATTATAGTTGTTTAAGTCAGTTAAATTAGAAGGAATTGTTTTAAAACGAAAACAAATGCGAAGACTCTTACTTAAGAGGAAAACTGAAACCCACGGTGGTTGAAATCTGACGATAGAGTGGGCACAGATTAGACCGGTGTTTAAACAAGAATGTCAACACTGACGTCGAATTGAACAAGACGTTAGAAGGCAAATAGCGTCACGGCTGTGTTTTGATGTCACCATGGTAGCATTAGCGTGGATTACAGGCTTAAGAGGCACAAAAAAGTGATGTCAAGAGTTCATCGTGTGTCGATGCTTGCTCAGAATGGGACATACCTTCCTGCTGTGTGGGACGTGTAATGCGGCAATAGCTATTGACAGTGGTCACCGATCAGATCCGCATTTTTTCAAAATATTAGGTTTTGTAATTACTTGCATTTTACTGTTAATTTCTCGTTCATCAAATATCTTTATTGACATAATTGTGGGTTTTTGGCAATGTGAATTTAATGTTTAGTGTTTCTGATGAAGTCTTGTTGTTTTTTGGTTAATTTTGCTGCGTTGTTTGTTTGTTTGTTGTTTTTAATGCCACTTTCAGAAATAGTCCAGCTTATAGGACGGCAGCCTGTAAGGATCGAGTCTGGACCAGATAATCCAGTGACTGACAAAATTCGCATTGGTCTTTGCATCTGCGTGCGTTGGTGAAACTCGTACTGTTACGAATTATGTAGTATATACCCATCGAAGGCGGTTATATAGCGAGTGATTGGATAATGTCATCTTTCTCTACGATTTTTATATGTTAATAAGGGCGGTTGGGTAGCCTAGAAGTTAATAATTCCAAAAAGGCGGAAACGTGGAAACTCTACATCACACTCATCTGACAACTGAAGAATGGGGATTTGAACAAGTTTCTTTGGGGCGTCGAGTCAAAGCATCCTCTCACTCGACAAGCCCCCACTCGTCTGTTCGGCAAGCCCGACGGACTTTTGCTTTGTAGAAAGGGTTGAAGGGGAGTGAAAACATATATACTAAACAGCAAAGGAAACATCAGTTCGGAATTTTCCTTCGCAGAAATGGATAACTGTAAACTCATTTAATGTTTTGATTGTATATTTTGACAACATCTCCAACTCTTTACCTGAGCAAAGACATTCCTTCCCAAACTCAGAATGGAACCAAGGAAATGGTCTCAAAACGCTACCTGATCTTGAGATGGTACGGTGTTCTCCATGTTTTCAAGCAACTCATGCTGCACGTGCTGTTCACAAGGACCAGCCCTATAAAATGCACCCCAAAACATGGTTGAAACATTCACATCACAACGTCAGCAGGATGCCGCAACTCACGACAGCTCAGAGGAACCAGGCGCTAGGAAGACTTGAAGCTGGCCACGCTGCACGCTGCTGCCAATCACTTCCAGGTCAACGTTCGACCATCTACAGGCTGCAGCAACGTTTCCGGGCCACCAACACAACAAACGATCGGCCCCGTACTGGCAGACCAAGGGTGACCACAAGACGACAAGACCGCCATGTTGTGCGACAGCATGTACAGAATCCTTTCATGCAGGCATCCGAAACAGCACGCCAGACAGTGGGAACACACGGAAGACCAATCAGTACTGATACAGTACGCCGACGTCTTATCAGCGGGAACCTCCATTGCCTTAGACCTTACCGTGGACCTATCCTCACCCCTCGTCATCGGCGTGAACGTCTACAGCTCTGTCTTACAACACCAAAACTGGAGATACAGGCAATGGAGAACTGTTCTGTTCACAGATGAGAGTCGGTACTGCGTATCAACTGCATCTGGCAGAACAAGAATATGACGACGGCGTGGCCAGCGTTACTCAGACCAATGTGTTATGAACCAGAGAGTGGATCCTGTGGTGTTGCAGAACCTTGGTCCAGGGAGAGGAGGCAGCATCACAGCGGTGCGCTACATCGACCAAGCTCTCAGACCCCACGTCATTCCACATTTCGCACGTCACCGGAACAACATTTTCCAACATGATAACGCCCGGGCCCATACTGCCAGAGCTACACAGAACTTTGTCAACATTATGCAGTGGCCAGCCCTTAGTCCTGATTTAAACCCAATTGAACATCTTTGGGATGAAATTCAGAGGAGACTGAATAATGTCATACCAAGGCCGAACACAGCCGATTTATTGCACCAGGCCTTTCTCAGAGTGTGGTTCCAGGTGCCAATGACCTTCATCAGTCGATTGGTGCACTCCATCCATAGACGCTCTGCTGCAGTTATTGCCGCTCGTGGTGGTCACACTAGATACTGAAGTCAAGAGTCTGAAGGGACTGCAAACGTTCACGTATTGTCTTTAAATTCTGCAGAGTTATTCATTGATGTGTCAAGATATTGTACACAAAAAATGTTTTTGATCCACTAATTATGTCCATTTCTGTAATGATTTGATTATAGTGCCTATCTACTTTTGAATTCGTACTGACGTTTGTTTTTGCTGCTGAGTATATATTTATACTGATAGGGATCCCCAGTGTTATTTGAGATTCAGAACCCAAGGATAATCTAGGCATGCTTCATCAAGGACTTTGCTTTGTAGAAAGGGTTGAAGGGAGTGAAAATAATTGGTTTCAGGGACCGTGTGACAACCAGCCCATATGCCCAGATGATACCCACTGGACCGAGACGAGCCGAGTGCGCTCACACTCATCGAGATATTTGTTTAAGTTGTCTCCCTTTATGGTGATTTTACAGGCGCTCTCTACTAATCTGACACAAGTGATCCGGGGATTCCGACCTTCAAAAACGTTTTACTTTTCTATTATTTGTTTGTTTGTTGCTTAACGCCGCACTCAACAATATTCCAGCTTTATAATAATCCAGTGATCAACATCATGAGCATCGATTTACGCTATTTGGATTCCATCAAAAATCGTAAATAAATAAGAAAGTCACTAAATATATCTAGAATTGCTCACACCTACATGTGATGCTTACATGAGATTCTCAAAACCGTTAACGTGTACATGCACACATGAAGAAAAAGATACAAAATAAAGGCAAAGTTTGGGCCGAGTTCAAGGCTCGAGACAGAGATACGTACTTTATCTTGAATTCGAGATAAAGGTAAAATAAAATATGCATTAATGATGTGAATTCGAAGCGGTAGGGACTGGAGAATAGGTTCGATATATCTGTACATTCGAGATAATGGATCTCGAGGCCATGTCACTTGTAAGAATACATAACTTACAATGGTTCCTTGAAATTAGCTGGGTAAGTCAATTAGTCGGAAATTGGTCCCCTTTAAAAAGAACCAATTACAATGCAAATATAATGACTAAATTGTCAAACTATATATGCTCAGTATAAAATATAAATGCATTCAAAGCAGATTTGTTTCTTTCATTAACCAACGCCATCATCTTCATGTTGTTGCTGGTTTTCGGATTTTTGTCATTGTTTATTTATAGGATTGGTTGTGAAAGTGCTGTGTCTGGGAGTGGGGTTTGAGGGCATAGCCTATAAGATATTTAATTATATTATATACCCAAAACATATCTATCGATACCACAGATATATTGAATACGTATTTCTTTGGAAGTTCTGCTATACGAGGCTGTGGGAGCGTTCGCGTGTAAAGCAGAAGACCACGGCCTCCAGACTGGGAGTCGGTCTTCTACTCCTATATGACAAGATAGCAAACACTCCGTTACGCTTCATGCTGTTATCTACACAGGAAGTGGGAGTGACGGCACTGCCGTATGTGGGTCTCGCGAGACTGACCTGTAGCCTCATTTGTAAACATGATACATATCGTGGCAAAATGCATCGTTCACTGGCAATATTACAAAACTAGCAACACTATTCGCATCCGTTTAACATAAAATGTGTATTTTTTTTTTAAATATCTGAAATATTTATTGATATGTATCTTAATAATATCCACGTTAGAACTCAAAAGTTTGATGTTCGTATGACTAATCCGGCAACTGTTACATATATCTGTTGTGGATTAATATTCTGTTTCCACATCTTTGAACCTATTTACCTGCTTATAACAGTACATACGTAAAGCTATAGCTGGGGTATCGGTGGTTTCATAAGTAGTCGGGAAATCTTCCTAGTCGCTTAGCATGTACTTCTGAACTCTTAAAAAAAACAAAGGCACCTGGCATAATTTTTCAGCTCCATTACTGATGCTTTGATAAAGGTTAGGCAAATCTACATTCAAGCCACGCCCGTATTGCTTTCATGGTTGCAGAGCGTCCATTATATACGTAAGAGAGATTTATTGGCAACAGCCGAAATCATCATTTCATCGAAATAATCCACAAGAAACCCCGCTCATGGGAACGGAGTCATATTTTCAGTTTATCTTTCTGTCGATGGGTCCCTCGTGATGTTGTTTCAGCGAATGTGATACTCTTCGCCTATCAGTTGGATTATCTCGGCATTGGAATGCAAGGGAGACCACCAAGGGAAGATGAAACGACGATTTTGATTGGACGTTATTTATAGTCTCCCAATGCTCATTAAATATGGCGGCGATCTAGAAAGTGTGGACAGAAATGACATTGTTTCGAGAAATGTTTCTATGATATTATGGTCATTTGGAAACATTTTGATTGAATCATATACATATTTGAAGGGTAAGACACAAATTCGATGCTGTAATCGGTTAGGCTGCGTGCATGAGTCATCCATTTCAGCTCATACCGTCTTTGTGTAGCGGTGATACCTAAGTCAACCTCTCTGACTCAGACGTTCTCATTTCAACTGTCAGATGAGTGCGATGTAAAGTTTCCATGTTTCCATCCTGTTTGGATGTTTTTGCCATATTCATCAAATTTTATCTTAGCTAGCATTCAGCGAGATGTGGATGAAATTAAATCAAACCTGAGATTTGATTTCGTTGCCACAACTTAGAGGGCTTCATAGCCTTTGTTTTCGTGATAGTGTAGGGTGTGTTTCGTAAATTCATCAGAGAAGAAAACAGAGTCGTATATGTATCAGATTGCAACTTGTAGATCCATTCACGGATTTTACCGTATTATGTCTCAATAATACACATTTCAGCTATTATCCAAGCATTGATCTGAGTTATTAATTGTAATATTTCATATGTTAAACATGTTGAGATGTTCATCATATGTTTAAGGTGTGGCTAACTTACTGTGCTTGTACAGCTCTATGTTATGAGGAAAGGTGTGCAATAATTTCCCATATCAAGCCCATAATGAAAAATGCAAGAAGTTTTTTTTAACAGTGTTTAGTTTACCTTGAAAAACATCCCTGTGGTAACAGCAGGTAGAATTGCAAAATTACAATTAGTGTTATCATGTAGATTTCTATGATGTTCTAGCTTCAATCATGATAAGTGCTCCCAGTTCAAATTAGTCAATACTTATGATGATATGTTTGTGTGGTTCTAAAATATATTGTCCAAAACTTTATTTGAAATGCTTAAATGAGTCGACATCTGTGATCATATTCAAGCCTATCATGATTTTAATCAAAAACTTGTCCACAACAAACATAAGATATGCATCCGTAGTGGTGTTTTAATGTACCTAATATTCCTAAATAAACTTCAATCGACACCTGTTCTGAGGATGAGCAGAGGTTTCCACATGATTTGATGTGACTATGTATATCATGATATGTAACATATACAGACCTATTTAATATAATACCATATTCGCGGACCATGCTGTATCGCTTTGAACTCTCTAGTTAGACATCAAAGAAAGAAACCAATGAGATGTGTTGCGATATAGGTGAGGTGAAATTGGGTTTAACGCCGTACTGGAGAATATTGACGACATGCATGCGTATGTATGTGTATGTCGTGGCGGCTTATACTAGCACAGACTTAAGTTTTATGATGCTAGTCCACTGGAGATACCATGCCGCAGTGAAGCATGAATACCCCACTCAGACACATTATACTGACTCGAGACAACCAACCTTTGTACCCATTAATGCCGAAAGGCCAGGCAGGGACCAACAAGTACCATATTTTAGCGTCTTTTGGTATGACGCCGACCGGGATCGAACCCAGCGACCTTCTGCTCTCCTGGCAGACGCTTCTAACCACTACACCAAGGTGGAAGTGTAAAGATGTTCGCGAGTAACAGCACTACTGTCACTGTTACCATGGTTATCAGATTGTTATTATAGATGAGTATAGCATGGTTCTCTTTTGTTTCTTTTGGTTTTTTCAATTAGAAACTGCACAAATTGCATCTGCAGATTTCACATCCAATGTATAATGGTGCAACTTGCTTCTTTAAAGTGATGACTAATATGTCATGAATATAAACGTCTTGGAGTCTTCAAGAAATATTCAGTCATGACTTTTCAGTAAGGGAAGTGAGTTTTCTAAGTATTAACACGTTGTCAAGGCCCTGACAACTGCTAAGATATGTTCCATCATCAAGTGTTTCAAAAAGTAGTTAAAAATTGTTTGTGTTCGATTATGAGAAAATGTGATCAATTGCTTGGTCATTTGGTCACTGCGACCAATCTTTGATTATTTCGATTAATCGGAACACCACTGCATACTACCACTCTCTAACTGTTCTCTAGTGTGTAACACCTAAATAATACAGCACACTGGATTTTACCCTTGTGTTTAACTGTGAATCAAACAGTACCCCTTCTTGTATTCGGTTTGTTATTTGCAGTCACTAGAATTGAATATAAAGCTGTTTTAAAAAAAAAAAAATTTACTCAATTGTTATTTATCAAAGCAAGATATGCAGAATGTAATATATACAAAGCATGCAGTGGTTTACCAAGTTTGGAGGACGCCTTTAGGTACTATCAACCAAAACATTAGGTTATTAGCAGCATCAGGTTTATTTTGTTATTATTGGATATTATGAATAATACACCAACTGCTTGACTACAGTATTCATGAATAAATATTCATTTGAACTGGCCAATTTTGTTGTAGGGCACGGTAGATCTTCCCAGAGTCTGATAGTTGGGAATTTGTCGTAAAGTCTGATAACACTAATGATTCCCCAATCCCTTAGAACTGACAAATATAAGATTAAAAGTAATATTTTCAACATAATCACAAACTTTTCACAATTTGTTTAAGGGGGGCTATTATGTATATCATAGAATGTATGGATGGATGGTATGTACGTATGGATGGATGTATTAGTTTAGAACCCTCTTCAAATCCTTTTAGAGTCCTCAGCGAACTCCTACCTGTTGTTAAAAGCTGAGGATCACCCTGATTGTGTACAGGTAGAAAGTTATAAAGATGGATCTGACATGCCTGTCACATTGCTCAACCTCTATGTCTATATACCCGTGAAGATGAGGTTACAATCGGTCTTCAGTAACTCATGCTTGTGGTAAGAGGCGACTAACAGGATCGGGTGGTCAGGCTCGCTGACTTGTTGACACATGTCATCGGTTCCCAACTGTGTAGATTCGCTGCTCTCATGGTTGTGGCATATCAATCTAACCACTGCCTATATTCGTAACCTTTCCATTAGTGTAAGCTTATGATACTGAGATTGCCTTGTGGAGCAGAGCTGAGGATAGTTTACACCAGGGTGGTGATGATTCTACTATTAACCAAATATGATGCATATTACGAATGTAGGGTAATGAATACTTAGGTAACAAAAATAATTCAGCAGATTATATCAGGGCTCCAGATAGATGCGTTTCTGCGTAAAATATTCGTGGATATTTCAGATATACGCATAAAAAGTCAAATCAATGAGTGAAAGATACGCCTGACTTTCTCAGAATACGAGTCAGATTTTGTTTACATGCTTGAACCAAACCTATCAAAATATTGTGTCAGTCCTTCACATCCGATCTTAAGATCTCGAATAGTGTTGGTTGTCTGTATTGAAGCAAAGATTGTAGTTTTTGTTTGATCTCCGTTAATATTTCTAATCCAAGTTTGCAATTTGTTTAAAAGCTTGCCCTTAAAGAGCGTTACTATCACAACATTTATGGCCCTTATCAGTAATAATACAGCTTTAGGGCTACTGTGGATTACGTGATGGCCTTATAGCTCAACACACATTGTCATTTATTTATATGTTACAATGACTAACCAAAAGAAACTTCAAGAAGTTTTGAAAGGAAAACTGTTTCAATTAGCCAGGAAAAGTAATAAGAGCATGCAACCCGTGAAATACTTTTCCTTTTATTTCCATTCGAATTTTACTCCTCAATTTTAATTTTGAGGAGGGAAATACCCCTGAGTCAAAACAATTATCTGGAGCCCTGATATTACGAACGAATAAAATCTTTTAGTAACGAATAAAAAAAATAACAATATCTTCAGTATATATTTTTTTATAATACCAAAATTAACTAAGTGACATGGTTTGACCTTGGTGCCTGCATTAATTTATTACTTACAATGATCAGTGACCACAAATAACACCCATATTTCGAGGAGAAATATTCAAAAGTCATAAATATTTGATTCTACACCTAGTGATTGCAAATTACAAATTGAATTCTTGAAGAGACAGGGTTCGATTCCCTTGAATATGTAAGTGAATCTTACTGCCCAAGTTTGCACAACAGCTTTTGGCACAGACTGTACTAATTCATAATTGCCTATAAGCTGCAGTGATATAATTAACATTTTTTAAATTGATTTTGTTTCCAGAGTTCCCAGACCCTACTTAGCTGACCGGCAGATCTGCATACAGTGGACAGTGATCATGGCTCAAGGCCGACCAATCAAGTGTGTGGTTGTGGGTGACGGGACAGTGGGCAAGACGTGCATGCTCATCTCGTACACCACGGATAGCTTCCCCGGAGAATATGTTCCCACAGTGTAAGTATATTTCCCTCACTCACTCACTCACTCACTCGAAGATACTGTATAGTGGACAAGAAGGGTTCTAATAATCGTAGTTCTGAATTGACTTGTGGCGTTTGCTTTTTATACCTGGACATGGAAGGTCGGGGGTATATGTCCATCCATCCATCCATCCATCCGAAGACACTTTTGTTCAACCATTAACTTGAACCCTATGGGTTGGATTGTTTTCAAATTATGGAACCAGCTTCTTTGTCTGCAGGGGGCAGTGGTATTGTGACAGTAAGCCAGGTGTTCGAGAAACACGTGTACAAGTGCCGACAAAGTGATTGATTCATTAACCTGTGCTGTTTCGTCTCCATCCTTTCTCGCACACCTGGCTGTCCCTTTCTCTGCACTCCTCCCTCGTAACAAATAGTACCGCCTCCGTGGTGTAGTGGTTAGAGCGTCCGTCCGCCCGGAGAGCGGAAGGTCGCAGGTTCGACCCCGACCCCGTCATACCAAAAGACGTTCAAATATGGTACTTGTTGGTCCCTGTCTGGCTCTCGGCATTAATGGGTACAACAAGGACTGGTCGGCTTGGGGTCAGTATAATGTGTCTGAGTGGGGTATTCATGCTTCACTACGGCATGGTATCTCAGTGAGCTAGCACTATAAAACCAGCTTCAGTCTGGGCTAGTACATGCAGCTGCACCTACACATATACATGCATGCACGTCGTCATATGAGCGAAATTTTCTCAAGCACGATGTTAAACCCAATTTCACCTCACCTCACCGCAACAAATAGTGGACTGTGTCAAAATTTTAATGATAGTTTGTTAAACAACTTTTTTATTTTTAGGACCTAAATTCTGCAAATAAATCACAGAGTTGGTCTGATGTTTTGATTATGATCAGCGTTTCATTGAGTATTATATGTTTATTATTTTTCGAGTTAGGTTGCCATTCATCGGTCCGCTTTTGAGCCAAACGGACTATAACATGTTTTGGGGGAAATGGGGTTCAACCTTTCAAAGTTGATAATTAAACATGTTAGATGGCAGTAAATGTTTTCTTTTCTGTTTCCATGTATTGAAAATTTCAGGACTTTCTAAATTTTCTGGTGTCCCTTAAGTCCTACTTAAGCCCTTGGGCCCATATTTCCCCAAATCCTAGGAACAGCACTGTTCTTGGGCAAGTGACTGTTCAAAAATGCCTCTGTTTCACGGTAGTGTGGCTTTCAACCTTCTGGTGCCTTATGGGGTTGTATACTCCCCTGGGAGCTGAGAATGAAGACTGAGTGTACACTGATCATTGCTGATCCATTGCCTGTGTAATGATAATGTAGCGCCGTTAACAATAACTTGGGTGGGAAGGTGCTTGTCGTAAGAGGCGACTAACGGGATGGGGTGGTCAGGCTCACTGACTTGGTTGACACATGTCATCAGTTCCCAATTGTGCATATCGATGCTCATGCTGTTGATCACTGGATTGTCTTGTTCAGACTCGATTATTTACAGACCGCCACCATATAGCTGGAATATTGCTGAGTGCGGCGTAAAACTAAACTCACTCACTCACTCATTTGTTCGTATCTTCGAATCGTTCATTCATTACCTGATTTACAACATCAACATTCACTTGAGTGGGAAGGTGCTTTATTAATGGCATCAGCAGCATCAGCACCAGCAGCATCGTTCATTATTATCATTATTATGATTATGTTATTGTCTGTTTCAGATTTGACAACTACACGGCCAATATGATGGTTGACAGTGTTCCAGTGAGCTTGGGATTGTGGGATACTGCGGGACAGGAAGACTATGACAGACTCCGGCCTCTCTCCTACCCACAGGTTGGTTCCTGTTCTCAGTCTAGTTTGGTGTACCAAAGAAAGGACCCGTGAAGATCCGGGTTAGAATTGATCTTCAGCAACCCATGCTTGTTGGGATCGGGTGGTCAGGCTTGCCGACTTGGTTGACACATGTCATCGTATCCCATTTGCGTAGATCGATGCTCATGCTGTTGATCACTGGATTGTCTGGTCCAGATTCGATTATTTACAGACTGCCACCATATAGCTGGAATATTGCTGAGTGTGGTGTAAATTTAAACTCACTCACTTACTACCAAAGAAAGATTTCGCTTGTGGATAAAATGAGCAAAATTGACTCAGATTCAACATTGTCTGTATCCTATGCTGAGATATCACTCACACATTGTGTATGGAATGTAATATCTATGATTATACAGGGATAGAACTGCAATTTGTTCAAAGACTGCCGATAAGCACCAGACAGATAATTTACGTTTGTCTTTGTGAAAATATACATGTGCCCATACCTTTGAATGATCCAATTAAACTTAAAGCATGTCACAACAATTATACTGTTGCCCCAGGGCAGTTTTCAGTGCCCTGTCCTTTTTATTTGGCACCTTCCCTTCTTTAATAGTATAATTTTCAGTTTCTATTTTTATGCAGTAAACTTAGACTCAGTGTTATTCGTTACACTGCTATACTGAGTCTAACAAACCCTTGTAGAAGGTCGCGTCTAAGTTTAATTAGGCTGCTATTTCATGTTGAAGTTAAGCGAAATATCTGTGCTCTTTGAGCCTTTAAAAATCACTGTGCGTGAATAGCATAACGTAATAACGAATTATGTCATTTCAGTGTATTGTTAATTAAACAAGTCATTAAACATCATGTAAACCTGTAAACTTGAAAGCTGGATTTCCTGAACATTGTCATGACTGCAGGAATAGTTTCAGTTTCAGCTTCATTTGTCCTGGATCTATAAACTAACCCACAAACTAAGTTATCATCCAGAACAGGATTTCCTGTTATGTACACTGGCATTCAAAATGGCCAGGCCTATGTTAAGCTGTAAAATCGAGAGGGCCACCAATAAACAGTGCAAAAATAATGACTGATTTGAATCTGTCAAATTTATTGCATTTTCCATTAAATGAAGGAGTATAATTTTTATCCTTTTTGTCTTGTCGCAAGGGTGCTTTGAAATTATTTCACCCGTGATATTTCAATATTTACCCTGCCATGGCCCGTAAATTAAGCACTGTTTTCAATCACTGTAATGAAAATGTAATATTATATAAATAAAGTGAGGTGAGGTGAAGTTGTGTTTAACATCATGCTTGAGAATATTTCGCTCATATGACGACGTGAATGCGTATGTGTGTGTGCGGCTGCTTGTACTAGCCCAGACTGAAGCTGGTTTTATAGTGCTAGCCCACTGAGATACCATGCTGCAGTGAAGCATGAATGCCCAACTCGGACACATTATACTGACTCAAGTCGACCAGTCCTTGTTGTACCCATTAATGCCAAGCGCCAGGCAGGGACCAACAAGTACCATATTTTAATGTCTTTTGGTATGCCGCAGTCGGAGATCCAACCCGCGACCTTCCGGTCTCTCCGGACGGACGCTCTAACCACTACACCACGGAGGCGGTCGGGACCAACAAGTACCATATTTTAACGTCTTTTGGTATGACGCGGTCGGGGATCGAACCTGCAACCTTCCGGTCTCCGGGCGGACGCTCTAACCACTACACCACGGAGGCGGTCTATAAATAAAGTGATTTAGCAATGATGTTTAGTGTTCATGTTTCCATTAATCTAAGCATAAGTAGGCCAGGCCCTATGACAGTTGGTGAGGTGGGGTAGCCTAGTGGTTAAAGCGTTCGCTTATCATGCCGAAGACCTGGGTTCAATTCCCTACATGGGTACAATTTCTTGAGTCTCCCGTCGTGATATTGCTAGAATATTGCTAAAAGCAGCATAAAACTAAACTCACTCACACACTCCAAATGGCCACGCTCATGCTATAGCTGCAAGATTGACATTGCCACTGATATGTAATTTGACAGTGTGCAAAAATAGGTTTTGCATGATTTAAGTTGGTCATATTTATTGCAAATTCCATTTACTGAATTATGGTGAGTATTATTTTTATGATTTTAGATGTTCCGCCAGGGCACATTAAATATATTGCAAAATTGGACTTTGAAACTACCATTGTATCAGAAAAGCACAATATCTTACAAGAAAATGGCACTTATATTTGTAGAATAGGTAAACCTTAATTTACAGCCTACCTACACATGAGTTAGTAAGTTACTAATTCTTCTGTTTATGTTTGTTTATGCACAAAACAAAGAAAAAACATGTAGTTCTTTCAGGTTGTTTTTTTGGCAAATTGCACAAAATGCATTTGCAAATTTCACATCTTTACAGGATGACTAGTATGTTAGAAACATAAATTACCTGGAGTCTTTAAGATAAATTCAATCATGACTTGGAACGAGCTACTAGTGCTTATGAAATGTAGCAGACAAAACAAACCTTGTGAAAAATATTGTTAATGCAAATAAGTGTTCCAAAATTGTTTTTGTTCGATTATGAGAAAACATGATCAATTGCTTGGTCGTTTACTCATTTTGACCATTCTTCGATTATTTCAATTAATCGGACCACCAGTAACCGCCATATAGCTGGAATATTGCTGAGTGCGGCGTAAAACTCAACTCACTCATGCTGTTGATCACTGGATTGTCTGGTGCAGACTCGATTGTTTTAAGACTACCGCCATATGGCCAAAATATTGTTGAGTAGGGCAATAAACAACAACACACAAACAATCAGCCTCGTCTCATCTAGCTGGCTTGGCTTATTTCTGTTTATTCCTATATCATGTTAATTGTAGGAATGACATGTATTTCGTTATCATTCCTTAAAACATTCAAAATTATCATGAATATGTTAATGAAAACAATTTGGGATTAACTGATACTTTGAAATATCTGCTAATTCAGTACGACGAACATTTGTTCCTTTTATGCTTGCTGTCTCTGAAACTCAGCAGGCCTAATGGAAAACCTGTAGACTCAAACATTTTGGTAGTCTCTTGCAATATAGATTACAAAACTTGATTGATTGATTGTTGTTTTACGCCGCACTCAACAATATTCCAGCTATGTGATGGCAGCCTCTAAATAATCAAATCTGGACCAGACAATCCAGTGATCAACAGCATGAACATCGAGCTACGCAATTGGGATATGATGCCTCAGAACAAATCTGTCACCAGGCCCTTAGTCAAGTATCTGTTTCGAACACTGCTTGCTTGCCCTTCAAATGCTGTCAAAATGAGTGAGTTTGTGAGTTTAGTTTTACGCCGCACTCAGCAATATTCCAGCGGTCTGTAAATAATCAAGTCTGGACCAGACAATCCAGTGATCAACAGCATGAGCATCGATCTGCTTAATTGGGAACCGATGACGTGTCAACCAAGTCAGTGAGCCTGACCACCCGATCCCATTAGTCATCTCTTATAACAAGCATGAATTCATAAAGCTATAAAATTGATAATTTAGTTATTAACCTCTGCAAAGAGATCAGTCCTTGGTGGTCCTTTGGTTAGAGTATAGCTTGTTAACAGTGATTGGTTTTATGGCAGTTTAACATTATTCCAGCCATTTCAGGGTTCGAAATTCTCCATATATTAGGGTGCCATGGCACGGTAAATATTGAAATGGCACGGATAAAAACTGTTCTCTGTGCCCTTGTGGCACTCCTAATTTTTAGAGACATAACTCACCTTTAGTCATTTAATCCCCAAAACAAGACATTTACGCAAATGACAAACAAGCAAAAACGTTTCTTGACTTTATCGCCCAGGAAATCAATGGAATAATGATGGATGATGTAAAGAAATCTGGTTGTTTTTCCATTAAGAGTGATGGGAGTACTGATAGTTCAGTTATTGAAGAGGAAATTGTGTATGTTAGATATGTTGAACAATTACCTGTCACAAAATTCTCAGCTATTAAAAGTGTTGGGAAAGTAGAACAAATGAAGCTTAAGAAAGCCATCTTAAACAGAAGACATATCAGTGAAAACAGAAAACAGGTTACATTTGTTGTTTTCTAACAATAAATTTCAAAAGATCACCATCACTGCTACAGTCATTTATTCCAAAAACATGTGGGCACACTTGATTTCTGAAAGGCACATTTAAAATATTTGCCTGGTGCCCTAAGGCACACTTAGAAAATATAGTATTTCTATCCCTGCATTTCATGTCAGGGCACACCAGAAATGGGCTTCACAACTGTACCCATGTGGGGAAATGAACTGAGTCTTCCGCACCTTTGATTAAACTACGACTTTCTTGTGTTGCAGACTGACGTGTTCCTGATATGCTTTAGTGTTGTGAGTCCCTCTTCCTTTGAAAATGTCACAACAAAATGGAATCCCGAGATCAAGCACCACTGTCCTGATGCCCCGGTTATACTTGTTGGTAAGAGTTGCCTCCCTTTGCTATACCAGGATACACTGCTCATTTGTCAAACCCTGTTTCACCTTGATTATGATACTTGCTTTGTGAGCACAATATCTTGCACATAGCTTTATCCAAATTGATTTGCCATATAAATCATTGTAATATGGTACTTTATCATCAGATTAATGGATAAGCCATGGTGATTGACCTTCAGAAGCCCAGTGAACATCAGGTTTAGAGTTAGTAATCCAGAGATACAGATAAGCTGCGTATCTGTGTAAATTATGCAAATATTTATGTGAAAACTCAATTCCTAGTAAGTCTATTGCGTACAAGTACGCTTAAATGTTTGTAAATACTCAATAAATTTGATCTTACATGCGTACACACAAAAACAGATAAAATAACTGAAGTATATGGAGAGGTTCTATTTCAGCACATGAACTTGGCAACTTGCAGTCTTTCTTATCGTTTCTCATATTACAGATCAATTATAGATAACAAACACGTAAACCAACATTTAAGCTTTATTATATTTTTGCAAGTAATGGAAAATGGCAAATACCCTATTGAGTTTGATTGAGGTGGATGCAGTTTATTTGGTTACTCAAAGGGAAATTAGGATACCCAATTGAGATGAACACAAACGATTACATAACTCAGTGACCCAAAAGGTTATCTGTAGCTCTGAGTAATCACCAACCCATGCTATGTCTATTTGTATCTACAACTGCATTGTAAACCTAAAGTGACTGTGTTCTTTAATCTGATTGGTTGAAAAACATGATCGAATGGTATTTGATTCCCGGAAATTGCAAGACCTTTAGCTGCGTATTAATACGTACAAACATCGCACACACCATTGTATCGTTACACCGTCAGCAGTGCTGACGTCATTCAAATCATACTGTGAAGTCCAAATGACGTCACAAATGAGCAGTTCCTGATGCTACCATGGAAGACAGCCGAAACGGACGGCTGATGACATTTCACTGCTGTACCCGTACTCGATGTCAATGAGTGCAGACAGAAAACATGTGTTGACCTTTTGGTTTACTTGTGTGTTTACAATGTCAATAGACATCATGTGTTGGCCAATTTCCGGGTGTATTCCGCCGTCGGTTCCAAATGTATTCCCATGCTTCAAATACTCAATAACACCCGGATATTGGCCAACACATGATGTTTATCTCCTAAATACGTACCGTAGCGTAGTAAGAGGGTACCGTTTCACACTTACATGCAAGGGGAAAACAGCCTACACCTGATATTAATAATGGTTGACTTCGATGCCACTGTCAATAGCAAAGAAGAAAAATACCTGGTGCATGGGGCCAACTCTGAGTAATCACCAACCCATGCTATGACTGTGTGTATCTTCCTGACTTCATTGATGCTTGTTAAACTGCATAGATTGATGCTCATGCCGTCAGCTACTGGATTGTCTCATCCAGAGTTGATCATGTACTGGTTGCCGTCATTTACCGTATATTACTGTAGATAAGTCAAATTTTGAGGACCAAAAAAGCAGTTTGTAGAAGGGTGTTGGCTTGTCTACAGGTTACACATTCATCAAACAGTTTTTCAGGGATAAGAAAATGACATTGTAATGCTTCGCGTGATCAAACAAGAGAAGACGACATTGTCAGTAAAGACGTCAAATTTGCAATTAAAAATCACTAGACAAGATTATTTATTTTTTCAGTTCTAATTTGTTTTTGCTTGGCATTGTCTTATATGCAGGGATTAAGATAAGCATGTGTATTGTCTCGTATCCAGGGCAAGAAATAACAATCAGCTGTGCACACGTTTCCCTGCTCACGTTTCTGAGCAAGGCCTCTAAGAAGAAACAAAAGAAATTGTTGGTAATGGACTTAAATTATGATCATATGGATAAGGTTTCTTTCCTTTTCAGGTACAAAGATAGATTTACGAGAAAATAAAGAAACCATTGGCCAATTAGTTGCTCAGGGTCTTGCACCCATCAAGCGAGAACAAGGGATGAAGTTAGTCAACAAAGTGAGAGCAGTCAAATACATGGAGTGCTCAGCGCTCACGCAGAGAGGACTCAAACAGGTAAGGACATGTTAAAAATTTATTCTGGTTTCAAATGGATCCCAGCTGAGCTTGTGCGTGCGTGAGTGAGTGAGTTTAGTTTTACGCCGCACTCAGCAACCTTCAGCAACCCATGGTTGTCTTAAGAGGCGACTAACGGGATCGGGTGGTCAGGCTCGCTGACTTGGTTGACACATGTCATCGTATCCCAATTGCATAGATCAATGCTTGTGATGTTCATCACTGGATTGTCTGGTCCAGTCGGTTATTTACAGACTGTCTGCCATATAGCTGGAATATTGCTGAATGTGGCGTTATATAACTAACAAATAAACAGCTAAGCTGGTTATTATATGATGCGACTTGAGTCAATAATTAGATTTATACTTTTGTCCTGAGCACTTTGTAGTTGTCTTTGGCTGGCAGACTGGCATGAATATTGCTGGAATATTGCTAAAAGCGGCGTAAAACTAGACTCACAACCCTCACCGACTAGATGGAACGGGTGGTTGGCATAAAGTTGAATTTCGTTGCTCGCAATGTCGATCACTGAAATGTATGACAAGCAGTGATCACTCATGTGACATATTTTGACATACTTTTCATTCCAGTGGTAAAATTTACGCTAAATTTTTGTATGTATGAGAATTGTACAGGGAAAGATAACAACATATTGATGAACAACTTCTTTATTGGTCTGAAAGCGACGTTTCGCTGTAGGTTATAACACCATCTAGCCAGTGGGTACCTACACCGAGACGTCACTCTCACACCGATAAAGTAGTTGATCATCCATATATTGTTCTTCCTTACTGCTCCAACTTCTAAGGGCCAATCATAATTTATGGCTAGGGGGGTGATGATGATTTTAAGGGGGGGTCACCCATTTTGTTCTGGGGTAGGGGGTCATCAATTTTGTACACGTTTCTAGGGGGGTCAGCAACTTTGTACATAAAAGTATTTAAAAATTATGCTTTAAAAATATGGAAAGGGTGGGGATTATTGACATTGTACATGACATGGGAGTACATAAATTTTAGGGAGGGTCATTCACATTGTACATGCTTCTCCATAAAAATCATCATCACCCCCTCAGCCATAAATTATGAACAGTCCCTAAATGCCTCTCAAAGAAGAGAATTGTACAGTTGAGATGAGGAAATCTTGTTACATTCGCAGGTATTTGACGAGGCGGTGCGAGCCGTGTTGCAACCGCAGCCCGTGAGGAAAAGAAACCATAAGTGTACATTACTGTGATGGCCGACTCAAGCACGACACAACTAAATATGTAAAACCTTTTACTACAAACTTTTGCCAAATGGACTCATTAGTCCTCTGATGAGGACGAATGGCGTGTTTTGTACTACAAGAAAACGATTCTGTTCAGCATTGTACGTGCTGAATGAGGCTATAATTATACAATTCCTTGGCATTTCTGTTGATATTTAGTTGTAAGGCATCCCTTATGTTACTAAAACATACAACTTTGCACTATTTTCAGATTATTGAGAATGGCAGTATTGCGTGCTTGGAGAACATTTAGTTTGGTAACACTTATGTACAGGATGTAGTATGCAATTTTAAGTATTTGTTTTGTAAGATTTTATTATTTTTGCATGCAATGTTACAATAGTGCTGGAAGGTCTGTGTATATGAGGATCTTGTTTGTTCTGGAATTGTTATACAGTTCTGTTACCATGGTTACGTGTGCGTATCTAAGACAGAATATACTGGGGTGTTTTTGTTGAACGGGTGTAATACTAACCTGTTACCAGAATGACTGTAATGATTCACTGAAATTTCAACACCAGTGGTGTGCCACTAGACGTACAGCATGGAATAAAGATCAGTGTTAAAGTCCGACTTAATCTTCTTGAAAGACATAGTGACAAATGACATCTCCTTGTAGGCAACCTCTTCTCAATATGAAAAACAATGGCATCTCAGTAACTGATAATTTTTGAAGAAAAGACCAAATATATCCCTGATACAAGCATCGTGTTATATTGTGAGGTCATGTACAATAGTTGTATTGATACTAGAAGAAGCTGGTTGGTATGAAAGTGAATTCTGAAAAAGCTGGTATATACAAGTTGTCAGTGAAGGTGATATTTGCATTCATTTTAGATTCTTATCAGGAGGAGGCCTTCTCTGGAGGGACTGTTTTATTAACTGGGGAAATTGATTCCACCAAACCTAAAATCAAATTGAAAGTGGGCAATAATATACAGTTGTTCCCACAATATTTGACAGTTTGCTGCAAGTCAGTAAAAATTCCCAGTTGTAATTAAGCATTTCCCACTGAACGCTGTCATAATATTTGTTATGGCTTAAAAGGCGACTTCTCTTTCTCTGATAACTGGACCAATGTCGAGGATGGAACTTTTATCCTCATCATAATTTTGGAAGTGAAGAACTTGAAAAATTCCAATTTTGACCAAATTTGCTATTTTTGCGATTTGGGCAAGTTTGGAATCAATGATAAATCTGTGCTATGTTGTCATGTATCACACACATTGTCATGTCATGACTTGACCTTGAATGTACATAGCGTCATGACAACATGAATCTGTGCGGCATGGGCCCATGTGCACAAAGCAGTCTTATGTTAAAACATCTGTGTAACAGAGAGAAATGGCAAGTTGACATTGCCAATGAATTTAATTAAAGTCTGCTAAAGTTAATGCTCATCACCATTACCTAAGAACTGGTCATCAGTGTTTTCTGGTGTTCATTTAGTTTAAAGTTCCATATTTGGAGGATCTATGAGCTCTGTGTCTGTTACTTGAATCTTGGAACCCGACAAGGATCCGTTGACTCCATACAAGGTTATGAACACTGGTTTAAGTGAAGCTGCTACAATGGTCTTAGTACTAGGATCTTTTTGTGCAGATGGGCCCTGACCTGTGACATTGTTACCAGTGCTTTTGAAGTCTTATATCTTCAGGTTTGAGATAGAAAGAATCAATTTGATATTTGTAACAGGCTTAAGAGGCATTCAGTCAAAATTACTTGTTGTTACTTTTATGTGCTCAGATTTGGCATTGGATGACGCTCATGTGTGAGAATTAGACACTTGACAAGTGACAGGTGTCTAGTTCCGTACCAGGTTCGGTTGCAATACAACTGTACACAATTCCACAGTAAACATCACTCCTGCTGTGGACATATCATAATGTATATGTTAATGGTGTACGTTCTGTGCATACGGCTGGCGCTGCGACTGTCAAATGGAAACATTTGGAACATTTGTAATTTATTGTAGACTGTACTTTCATTAACACAGAACGTTCTCAGCTGAATATGAACACTTACCATTACCATGTGATTTGTACAGCAGTCATATTGGATTACGTTTAGCAAATACGAATATGGGTTGGATTACCCGAGGAATACTGACTCCTTCGTTACTGTTTTGAATACATGAGGAATGTGTCTTTTACCTTGTATTTCCATTGTGTTTGTTTATTAAATATTAATAAGATGTCGGATGAGTGAACAATATTTTATTGAAAATTAACACTTGTCTCAGAAAACAAATCTGTTCTCATTTATGCAGCATGTCGTATTAGATAACATATTCAGGAGAATGATTTATGTGGAGACTTTCAGTTAGAAATATTTGCATCATCAGCAGAAGATATGGTAATCGATTGATGGTATAAACAGAAATGTAAGTTAATCAACACCTTAACCTATGATTGTGATGGTAAATGTTGGACATATGTGTCAACATTCTGACAAGTTTCTTATTTTATTTTCTTATGTTTAATTGTCACAGCTTAAAACCAGGGTCCTAATCCACAAAGCGTTCGTAACGTTACGACCTGTCGTAACTGTATTACAACCTATCATAGCTCTGTAGTTTATCATAGGCTTACGAATGTCGTAGCTCTGCAAACCCTTTGTGGATCGGGACCCAGCTTGTTTCACTTTATGACCGAAATGTAAAGCTGGGTCTTAATTCTAAATACTGGTTCTGTATCACGGTAAGCAAACAGATCTTTGCTTGTTTGAAGTTCTGTCAGATCAGTCATATAATTTTGCTTTTGTTGAAACTTGTGTGGTTAATGTAGCCCAATTAAAGTACCTTAGGCTTCAAATGTGATCGTGGAAATATTTTCTCAATATTATATTCCTCACTAGCAGTCAAGGGAAGCAACTCTTGATGTATGTGTCATCAAGGGAAGCAACTCTTGGTGTATATACATTCAAGGGCAACATCTGGAGGTGAATGTGAAATCAAGGGCAGCAACTCTTGATACAGTCAAGGACGGCAACTCTTGAAACAGTCAGGGGAGGCAACTCTTGATACAGTCAAGGGAGGCAACCTTTGTTGGAGTCAAGGAAAGCAAGTCCTGGTGCTGTCAAAGGCAGTAACTCTTGATGCAGTCAAGCAAAGCAACTCTTGATACAGTCAAAGGAGGCAACTCTTGATGCAGTCAAGGGAGGCAACTCTTGATGCAGTCAAGGGAGGCAAATCTTGATCCTGTCAAGGGAAGCAACTCTTGACATACTGCAGTATGAAGGAAGCAACTCAAAAATGGCAGCATTCTGCTGGTCATGTATAGCTTTTATGCATATGTTATTGAATGCTTTTGAATCCTTACACGCTTCAGTAATATTTGTGTACCTTTTCCTGGTCTAATATACATAGTACTATTCTTGTAACTCCTGAGTGACGATGCAAAACATTGTTAATAATACAAGTACTTCTTTAACAAACACATATGTAATTAAGTTGGACATTTTGGGATTTATTTTACTGGGGTGATCTGTAGACTTGTGAACCAGTACACTGATACCATACATTTGTAAACAATGTGTTAATCTACAAAATATTCACAACTCCTTCCTGTTTCATCTGGATGTACTGCAAACCCTAGCTGCTTATTATCATTCATGATGACAACATATAAACGTCTTTGGAGCATTACCATCAATATTATTGCTATGTGTCATGACTACACATTATATTACTTCAACCGTAGTACAGAACATTTGTCAGTATTTAGGCGCAAAACCATTGCATATGATAATGTGTTGAGCAAGTAACTTTGTACTGTCTACACTCATTGAATTAGTCTCATTTTTTCATGATTTCATATTTGCCAGTTTTATTTTCAAATTTGTTTATCTGTTACAGGGAACTAGCCCACTCTGAAATATTTACTTATCTGATAGGTTAAGAATACTTCTATCTCTTCCATCAGACTGCTAGGTGAAATTCTAATCATAGTTTACAATACAGCTAGAGGCGGAGAATATTCTCCTACAGTTAGTGAGTGGCATTTTTCGAGCACAATGTCCACAATATCGTCATGGAAACGAGCTTGGTGCTTGCTGCATCAAGGATAGCTTTAATCACAGTCCCACTGCTCTTTTTGTTGTATTATTTGCATAATACTCTGTTTTGCTTTTGCTCGTCTAGTCATTTATATTTGTTTGTGCCAATATTTTGTGCAATTTGTTTTTATTTGTCTTTGGTGCTTTTCTTAGGTTCCTGTCTCTTTTTAGTTAATTCGAATCAGTTATTTATAGATTTGAGACCTTGCGTATCACCATATTAAGGATATGTGTCTTGATCAGTTATCTAATGAACTGGGCCCAGGTTCTAAGGTATATTTGGCTATTCTGAGTTATCTCCCTTTGTTGTACAAGGATCTGCAGGTTGTGGGTTTAAATGGGATTTGCCCTGGTTATGTGTTCACAAGTTTAAATAATGTGGACAGTGACCAATTTGCATGAATTAAATCTTTCTTTCCCTATTTAACTTACAACATATGATGTACTGAAATGCTGTTGAAAGCAGCACTTTTTACTCACTGATAAAAGGATGATTTATTTTTCTAAATTCAGCAGTTTCACATGTATGTTGATTTGTCAGTTAAATTAACCAGGGTTGAGATAATAACACATTGTTACAAATGAAACAGTTACTCCAAATTTACAATGCTCTCCCAAATTTTCTAGCAATACGCGTGGCATTTACAATAGTATTTGGAATTTGTTGAAATCTCACAATTGATGATTGGTTCATTACATCAAATGTAAAATGATGCAACTTGCTACTTTAAAGTGATGACTAATACATATCATGAACATAAACTTCCTGGAGTCTTCAAGAAATATTCAGTCATGACTTTTCAGTAAATGAAGTGAGTTGTCTAAGAATTAAACATGCTTTCAGGCCCTGACAACTTCTAAGATATGTTCCATCGTCAGGAGTTTCAAACACTAAAACAGTAGTTCCAAACTTGTTTGTGTTCAATTATGAGAAAATGTGATCGATTGCTTGGTCGTCTGGTCACTGCGAACAATCTTTGATTATTTCAATTAATCGGAACACCACTACCGGGTAATTTCAAATGGCATATATCGGTGTTAATGCGAAAATATATTTCTCAATGTAGACATGGATAAAATTACCCTTTAAGACCTGCAATTATTCATTTTTAGTGGGATGATGAAGGAAATGTTTATAATTGAATACTTTGCCTTCTTGTCCATCTTTAACAGGGTAATTTAAAACATGCAGCCCTTTCTGTGACAGTTAATCATTAATTTCACATTGATCGTCATTTAGTTCAAACTGATACAACATCAGCATTAAACATTAATGCTGCAGGACGCTGATCGCACCCGTTGGACAATCCTGTAGTTTTTAATTTGAAACCTGTTTGGTAACCATGTAAGGTATATTTATTATTTTGTCATCATAGTTTTCATAATTTTGCACACTAATTCATCTGCATACTTTATGTGGATGTCATATCACTAATTGTGAAGAAAAATGGCTAATTATGGCATTTCTTACAGATATCTTTTTACAGTTGCTTACTTGCAAGTCCAGTATATTTTGGGGTTGGTTTGTTTTTCTCCCAGTATACGTCCATCAATGGCTTTTTCAATGGATGCACTTTTACAATTGCTTACATGTCAGGTGATTTATTTTTTTACAAGTTTAGCGGAATGAGTTGTTTTTTTACCTGAAATCAGAGAAATTGCTGTTTTCTGCAGAATATCCTATGCAGAACATCTGTGCAGAATATCCTCATTGCAGAACGTCCTCTGCCGAATATTCTCATTGCAGAACGTCCTATGTGCAGAACGTCCTATGTGCAGAACGTCCTTTGTCGAATATCCTCAATGCAGAACCTATGCTGTGCAGAGTATCCTCACTGCAGAATATCATCAGTGCAGAACATCCTCACTGCAGAATATTCTTATTGTAGAACGTCCTCATTGCAAAATGTCCTCTGTGAAGAATATCCTCATTACAGAACAGCCTCAGTGCATGATGTTCTCATGTGACAAATACTTTAATTACACATTCTGTCAGGACCACAGGTGTTGGTGTTGCAGTGCCAGGTCCTTTGTGCTTTAAAAAGGACCTACCATTTAGTATTCTTCATAACCCAGGGAATTTTGGTGAAGAGTATTTTTCTAGTCATTGTTTCAAGAGCAAAGGAAAACCTTGGTTTTGTTTTTTATTAAGCCCAGACCAATTTTATTTCTTGTTTTACGGATTTTTGTCCTCAGAAAACCTAAAGGCAGGAGCGAACAAAAATCAAAATCAAAATCACCAGTCAGAGTAATATTCCTTTTGAAAGCTAAAAGTATTTTACTTTTGGCAATTTATGAAGTGTACTGGTAAACAGGGCCAAAAATAATCAAAAAACACATCTTGCACATTTATAATTTTGGCCATTAAAATTTATTTTTGAGCGGGGAAAATTAATTTTTATTTTTTGTCTTATTCTTGAAAAAATAAGACTGGCGGATTCATAAAACAAGAAATAAAATTGGTCTGGCCTCAAAACAACATATTTCAGTCCGCTGATAATGTCAAGCAGTCGGTATATTTTTCCAAAGGTGCTCTGGAATTTAGAAAAAAACTGTTCAATAAAGACCCAGTTCATCTGCAGCCTGAATAGCAAGGTCAGTAGCGAACACTTCCTGGTCAGTGTCGAACACTTCCTGGTCAGTGTCTAAGGTTGCAAGGGGATGTTTAGGAAACTGCTTTTACTTTTAACTTTGTTGCTCAAGTACACAAGTTATCCTGTTGATGTCAACAGCAGTCTAAGTAAACTTAGGCTCAGTATTATTCGTTACACTGCTATACTGAGTCTAACAAAACCTAGTAGAAGGTCGCGTCAGCTAACCTTTGAGCGACCTGTGACCGTCCAGTCAAACGCGAGACGGACGAACAGATTTAACCAATCAGACGACGACTACTTGTTAGGGTTCGGCAGGACTTACAAAACGGTTTTTTGATTTTATCTTCCCTGGTCGCTGACACTGATCTTATCAACAAACGAAAATCCGCATAAAACACAAATATTTGACCTGCAGTATATACGCTTTTGGGTTTCTAATGACATGGTTACTATATGCTTATATTTTCACAAGATGACATCCTTGAATATTGATAAAAACGCTATTTTCAGCGACTGTTTACTCATTGTGTGTATCACTCAGGTGCGATTATGCGGAAAATAGCATTAGTTTTTTAGGTAAAGATTCGAACGGTATGTGCGAATGTTACTTTTGCGATTTGGTAAGCTGATTGGTCAGTCCAAAAGGTTAGCTGATGCGACCTTCTACTAGGTTTTGTTAGACTCAGTATAGCAGTGTAACGAATAATACTGAGCCTAAGTTTACTTAGACGGCTGTCAACAGATGCTTTATAGGTATGACATAACTTTGATGTTTGTGTTTAATGAGAGGTGCAAGTCTTTAGAATTTTTTACTCCTTCAGCTCAATCTTGTTTTTGTTAGTTTTTATTTAAATGGTTGCTTGGCAACCAAATTCTCAATTGTCTCAACCCTAGCTTTGCTTTAACTACCTCAGTAGAATTTTGAGAGTTTTTCATGCTCATGTACACACCTAACATAAAACATTTGTATAATGGTGTACTAATTCCAAAGACCTATTACAAATTATAGAAGGTAGTCTACTAACGTCAAAATACAGAAAAGTTACCACATGACCTTTTTCACATAAAATAGATATTTTGTTTACTCAGTGTACTAATTCTTAAAAAATGTTTCAAATTATACAAAATTGCATAAGTCACACAGTTTACCATATGACAGAAAACTTCTCTCCCAAGATGCTGTCTTTATGCTGGTTTTCAGCAGGGGCGTCGTTTTTACTTCGAAACTGATGACAGGCCTTAAACGTGTAAATGTATTTCATCTAATGTAATATAAATTTTCTCCCTTCAGTATTTCCTTTAAGATGCCATATTATTACAATTATATTTGTGTTACTTTTGTCTTATCTTGCTACATGGGGGTGAAACGATACGGCTAGTTCATTGTACAGTTGTATCACGATACACTGGTGTTGATAAGTTACATGTTTTGATACACATATTGACGTCAGATTGTTTGGTTTCTTCTTGGATATTGATATGTAAGAGCAGGTTCAAAAGGAATAGCTACCTGTAGACATGTTTGTAGCTGGTATTTTAAGAAGTGGACTTGAAGAACTAATAACACATTTTACGATATTTGACAGGGATCATTGCACAGGTAGTAAATAATTTAGTGTAGTAACTATATGGTCTTGTACCGATAAAGGGGAGGTGGGGAAGCCTTGTGGTTGAAGCGATTGCTCATCACGCTGAAGACCCGGGTTCGATTCCCTACATGGGTACAATATGCTACACCCCATTCTGATGTCCCCCGCCATGATCTTGCATGAATTTTGCTTAAAGCAGTGTAAAACCATACTCACCCACTGTACCGATGCAGAAATATATGTATCATGTATCATGGACACATTGTTTAACCCAAAGATCATATACTTTAAAAATGACATCCGCCAGATT